CAGAATCTGACGATGTAATTTTATTTATGCTTCTCCTTCCGGGCAATCCGATCTCTTTTCATTATTGAAAAAAAATAAGGGCAGAGATTTTAACCCTTTGCACTCGAGGGCTCCGGAGCGGAGCCATTTAAAATTTGTCTTCAAACTCGAGGGCTCCGCTACGGAGACAATGCAAATAATTTTCAGTTTTTAACATAAGAACAAAAACAAATCGTAAAAATTAGTTATAGGATGTTTCGCTGTTGGTGACAAATGACGTTTGTATCCATAAACAATTAAAAAAATAATAACATACAACGATGACTTTTCTTTTAATGCTTATATCATGAACTTACATGTGAATATGATCTTTTCACTAAAATGGCTTCGAGTTGCTGGTAATATGACTCAAAAAAAACTTCGAGTGCAAAGGGTTAAGTTATACCATTCGGTACTCGGCAAAGATTTCAACTGTTCATGCAGGAACAGAAACAGACATGAATTAACAGCGCACGCTTCCTATAGCGGCACGGGTGGCCTGTAGGAGATTTTGTTGTAAATACGCGTGGCAGTCAACGTGTTAAAAGATGAAATTTCTCTTTAGAATTGTTTCTATTCGTTGTTTATTCGGCTGCGTGCGAACTCGTATCCGTAATCTATGAGCCAAAATAGGGGATGCGTGTTTTTCGAATGTTTTTGTTTTCGCTGTTTAACATTATTTCGCCGTTTATCGCTAATTTTACACGTTATCAATGGAGAAAACTGTTCGAATGTGTTTCGTAATCGATAACAAAAATGTGTAAAAACCGTTGGAATTACAACGAACACCGTGGTAGTGCGAGTTCTTTCGAAATATCCAAGACAACCACATTTTTCAAACAAATTCATTGTTCTGTTTTTATCCGTTTCGCCATTTTAAGTAACAGCAAAATTGGAAAAAAGAGCATTTTGGTCATAGTCTAGTAATCATCTAAAAACGATTCAAGTCATTTTAACACGTTCCGTGCCACGTGTACCATCGATGGTACACGCTTGCACGTTTACTTAGTGAACTGAACAAATTGTTTACAAGAAATTTAGAACCGAAGAATCAATTTCCACCGCAAGAATGGGCGTTGATAAGTTTTTGTTACGTTGTTATGTGTACGAGAATTAATAATTGCACGTAATACATCAAGTTTTAGTAAAATATCAAAGTGTGAAGATTCGAGTAAAAAAAGCTCGGCACGGAACGTGTTAAACCAGTCTGAAAAAAGTTATACCGTTCTAAACAGTGTCCACATATGTTTGTCCCCGACTGTATTTAACCCTTTGCACTCGAAGCTATTTTAATTATATTTTAAACATATTTTCTGATCCACAATGTTTCCGTTTTATATGATTTATTGCGATCTATGCACACGGAAGCTTATTGGCAAATACAAAACTTGCAATTTTAACAGTCTTTTATATATATAAACGAGTCTGATACCGTTACCGTTATTTTAAAAAATAGTATAACAATTTTTAGTGGCGCCCCAGAGTCGCCACTCGAGTGCAAAGGGTTAATTTAATTTCTAAAACGTGTGCGCTACACGCTTGGAAACGTTCGCGTCTCGCGTTTCGACGGGCAAACAATCCGCGTCTCTCCCCCGACACGCGATTTCGCCGAAGAGCATAGTAATCGATCGCGAGGAGACGTCGTTTCATTTAGGCCAGCCAGATACGCGGCCGGGATGCATGCACGTTGGAAACGTAGCACGGGTAACGCTGTGTGGATTTTCGTTCGGATAGAATCTTATGAAAGTGGCTCCGGGCAGATCGATACAAGTCTCTCTCGCGCGGCGTACAAGTGTATAAGGATATTTACGAGCCGGCTCGCCGTCCCCCGTTCCCCGGCCGTCCCCCCGCCGTTTTATGTTCTTTCGGCCCGATCTGGAGCGGATCCAAAGAGAAGGAGAGGAAGAAAGGGATCGGGTTCATTTGCCCCGGATACTTGTCTAACCGATGATTAAGAAGTGTGTAAACATCCCTCGAACGGACGCCCCGCAGTCGAATCTCTTGCCGCGATTATTCGACGGTCGCTTTTTTTACACGGCCACGCGATTTCCGATAATCGCGGTTATCCCGATGAACAACATCCCCGCGGCTCGCGGCTTTTGCTGAACGCACGATCGAAGTTATCGCGTTCGCGTTTTTCGAGTCGACGTACTTTCCCGTGGAACGAACTTCCCGTTCGCCAGCGTCGCGCTATCGAGCTTACGCAGTTTAAGAGAGTTTTCCATTAGGGAAAATATTTTGAATACAGGGTGTTTCATAATTCATGGTACAAAATTGGGTCAGGTAGATTGTATGGCTGGAATAACGAAATTGCGTGGGAGATTTAGTTTTCGAGGAAATTCAATTTAAATATCAATTGAGCCTTGATATTTATTATTTATCGGTTATTTAACCGATCTTACGGATCTCTGTAGGTGCGACCATCGTTTAACGCGTTGATTGTCAAGTTAGCAAGCGCATAAATTTCATAACGTTAAAGGATTTTGTTTAATTGCATTAGAATTACTAAGTAAAGTTCCGTGACATCAATTAGATACTTTTTCAATGTTCTTACGTTTTTCGAATCTTAATGAAATTGGGAAATTATAATAAATTAGCGTGAGAGTTATTTTACAAATCTTAGTAAGTAATTCCACGTGAAATGTTTTAAAAAATGCTGGTAAATTCATGATTGAAAAATGTTGATGAATTAATGATTGAAAAATGCTGGCAAATTAGTAATTGAAAATGCTGGTAAATTCATGATTGAAAAATGCTGATACATTAACGATTGAAAAATTCTGGTTAATTAATGATTGGAAATGCTGGTAAATTCATGATTGAAAAATCCTGATAAATTTATAATTGAAGAATGCTGGCAAATTAATAATTGAAAAATGCTAGCAAATTAATAATTGAAAATGCTGGTAAATTCATGATTGAAACATCCTGATAAATTTATAATTCAAAAATGCTGGCAAATTAGTAATTGAAAATGTTGGTAAATTCACGATTGAAAAATGCTGATACATTAACGATTGAAAAATTCTGGTGAATTAATGATTGGAAATGCTGGTAAATTCATGATTGAAAAATGCTGGTAAATTCATGATTGAAAAATGCTGGTAAATTTATAATTGAAAAATGCTGGCAAATTAATAATTGAAAAATACTGCTAAATTTATAATTGAAAAATGTTGGTGAATTAACGATTGAAAAATGCTGGTAAATTGATGATTGAAAAATGATTGTAAATATGAATATTATGCGTGTCGTCGTCACGTTGCCAATATCGCATTAATCTGTCGAGTTAGAGCAACAATGGTCCGGTCTGCTCAAGATCCGATCGTTGTTCGCCGATTGTAAGTAAGTTCGTCACGCGAGGGAAATCGGAGCCGGGTATCGACGAGCGCGTTGCGTAGGCGCGTACGTTTCCGATGGAAGATGAAAGAATCGATAGCAGCGCGTCGGGTTCTCATTAGCCTGAGTGCCTTTCGACTCTGGCCAGCGCATATGAAAGTGATGGACCGTCGGTACTTTTAACGCAAACGGCGAAACAGTGCCGGCTACCCTGCTCGGTTTCCGACTCGCCGTAAACAGCGACCAACCTGTCTGTCTGGTGCCTGAAATTTTCGAGCGTGAATATGTAATCCGCTTGCGTTCGCCGTATTCCGCTAACAATTCGAATAATTAAACTGTAGACTTTAAGCGGTTCTAACTTCGAGCACGTTAAAATGCACGGTGATCGAAGCTCCGGAGGAATTTAATTATGCTACTCCGTCAGATTCGTTAAAACTAATGGGAGAAGAATGAATTTCGGTGCAATTAATCGCGATCGATGCGGACTGTTTTTATTTCGCTAAAAGATTCACGGTTTAATAACAATCGTATCGCCGTAATTGTAGCATTGTTCGTTTGGAATGTTCTGCAGCCTTTTAATTACAGGCACGCGTGTATCGTGAATAATTGCGACCGGCAATAAAGCAGAATTCACGCTTCGAAGTCGATTGACGACAGGTGTAGTTAAAGCGTTAAACTGATCTGTAAATGCGATTCTGATATCGTTCCATCGTTTCCTGGTTGAATCGCGGCGTGAAAAGAGCCGATTAAAAAAGTATGAAGATTTTAATCGCACTATTACGCTGCCATGATCGCGTTCTACCGGGTTCATTATCAATTTCTCAGGGTTTTATAGGACTCCTGGCGGCGAGACTCGATGAATGCCAGAATTTATTACATCTTTGCTGGGATCGATTCTTCATTTCTGTCACGTGCGGTCGGAGAGGTGCGGGAAATCAAGTCGGATTGGACTAGTAAATGTTCATTAACGTCGGTTTAAAAGGTCTAAAAGAGATCGTCGAAAATTCGGTCGAAAGTTCTACCAATTTTTAATCGAAAGATACGGGGAAAAGGAACAAAATATCGCATAGATTGCTTAAAACTCGGCCAAACTTTGCCGACTAACAAGCAGTTCTGCCCAATGCAAATGAAATCTATGTATTAAACAAAATATTCTCTGAAAAAGCGAAGAGAATTTAATTTATACAAAATAGTGTTTTCTGTAACATTGTTTGTAATATTCTCTGTAATAAAACCGAAGATAAAACCGAATGCAATCGAGGATGAAAACATTCGAGGGGCGAAAACATTCGAGACAAGCACCGATGATAAAAGATAGACACGTTTGCACTCGTCTGCTTGCGTAAGGATTAATATCGCCTAGAAGCGTTCACTGTTAACCGATTAGTCGGTGCATTACCGGCGAACGAAAAGGGGAGCAACCGGCTCGGTCATGAAAATTCCATGAGTCCCGGGATTACAATTTCAATTCTCCCGGTGCTTACGGACGAGTAAAAATATCCGGATCGCAGCGAATACGTGGTACAGTATCGAACGGCGTCCCGTACTAACCTGAAGGTGGCATCGGTTGTTGCGTAACCCTACGCATAGGCCCGGTGTTGGGAAACCTCGCCTGCTGACCCATGCCGATACCGGCGTGCATCATTTGGGCCTGAGCCGCTGCTTTGTATTCCGGTGGCGGCGGTCTCACGCCTCCCATTCCGCCGGCCATGTGCTGTTGCTGCTGCATCACCTGCAAAACAAGACAATGGACTTCAATTACTCCGGATCCAACGTCTCCGGCGATCCTCGAAGAGGCAGCCCGACGTGAACCGACGGGAACCGACGAGTCGCCGGAATTTATTCCGAACGATGTGTCACAGCGATATCTTCAAAATTATTAGGTTACTTTATCACACTATCGAAGTAACCAGAAATATTTTTTTTGGTCGAAAAGAGCAGCACGTGTAACAATTATTAATAGCTTATACGTATCAAGAGAAAATTTGTTTCGCGGCATGCGATGTATATCAGCGAAATTAAACCATCTTTCGGAATTTATTTTAATCAACGGGTTAGATCAATCGTTTCGAAATTTTTATGCTAATTTACTACGTTATCGGAGTAACTAGAAATATTTTTTATTATAAGAAAGAACTGTATGGTAAGAAGTTATAGTGACTTATACGCTGCTCGACGAAGAAGAAATTTGTTTCATACTACGAACGTATACCGTCGAAATTAAGCCATTTTTCGGAATTTATTTTAACCAACGGGTTAGATCAATCGTTTCGAAATTTTTATGCTAATTTACTACGTTATCGGAGTAACTAGAAATATTTTTTATTATAAGAAAGAAATGTATGATAAGAAGTTATAGTGACTTATACGCTGCCCGACGAAGAAAAAATTTGTTCCATGCTACGCAACGTATACCATTGAAAATGAACCATTCTTTGGAATTTATTTTAATCAATGGATTAGAGCAATCGTTTTGAAATTTTTACGCTAGTTTGCTACGCTATCGAAATAAGTAGAAATATTTTTTTTGTAAGAAAAAGTTGTATGATAAGAAGTTATAGTGATTTATACGCTGCTCGACGAAGAAGAAATTTGTTTCATACTACGCAACGTATACCGTCGAAATTAAACCATTTTTCGGAATTTATTTTAACCAACGAGTTAGAGCAATCGTTTCGAAATTTTTACGCTATTTTACCACACCATCGAAGAAATATTATTTTTTCAATCAGTCAAGAAAGAAGCGAATGATTGAAAATGAATGTATCTTTCGGAATTTACTGTAATCGATGGGTTGACTCAATATTTCCAAAATTATTCGGCCGTTATCTCGCACTATTAAAGTAACTAAAAATATTTTTTCCAGTCTAGAAGAGCTAGACGTGAAGGAGTAGCGTATCTGCGCAGAGAATCTCGCAGAATTCCCAGAAGGCTATCGCCTGTTGGACTTTATCCATTTGGAGGACAAAAACGGGAAGAAAATCTCGTCATAAATCCTTTCAGAATCGGTTAATCCGTCGGAGGCAGCTCCTGCGAGCGATTCCCCGTTCGCCTAATCACAAGGACCGGCTCCGTATCCAATCACCGTGCGAATGAACACGCTCTTATCGCGCTCCGTAACTGGATCACAGCGATCGGTGCCGATCCATTCTCGCCGTTAAAGAATCCGGGAATTCGATCACGTCCGCGGGTACGTGATCAAAGGAGTCTCTCCCTCTCGTCTCTCTCTCTCTCTCTCTCTCTCTCTCTCTCTTTCTATATCGCTCCAGAGCGTGATATCAATGGGAAAAACGTCGGCGCGAAATTGCTACGTGTCGATGCCGAGGATGGTCAGTTTCCTCCGTTCACCGGGATCGGTGGCACGGCGAGAGAGCAAGAGGGCGGTGACGTTCGCCTAATCGCTGGTTGCATGCCCGAGGAATGGAAAAACACCTCGGCGAGCCGTACGACGCAACGCGACGCTCGGAATGCTCGATCTAAGTGGACAAAAATCCGCCGGCATGAAAATAATCCATTAAATAGATAATTGCACGGTTAAAGGGATTACAAGCCCAACTGACCGACGCATTTCTCCTTGTTCCAGCAAAATCCGCGACCTTTTTAGGAATTTTCTGATGTTGCGCCAGCGATTCGACTCTCTTCAGCTATTTTAATTCGTTGATCGGCGAAGCGGCTGCTATAAAATGCCGCGAGATCCGAGCAATTTACTTGCCGATTCAGTTTCGTTATTTATGAAATACGAATATTCTGCGTTTATGACAAAATTGTTAAGTGAGATATATGCCGAATCAGAAGAAGTTTATAGTTTTATCATAAAATTTTCAACGTATCGTATATATCATATTCTATTACTTCTTTTTCTTTCTTTCTTCTTTTTACTCTCACTTATTTCTTTCTACATCCTGTGACTATATAATTATTTATTATATTTATATAATTATATACGTATTTGATCATTATCGAAGGGTTTCTTCCGTTGTTATCATTTTATTATTACTATTGTTCGTGTTGTTATTGTCATTATTATAATTACAAAAAGAAATTATTATTATTAATTTATTGGAACTATTTGAAGAAGTACATATTTACCCCCAATTCCGGAATTTATTAATATTTAAAATTCCGGAGTCCGGTTATTTCTACGAACCAGCCTAAATTTTCGAAACGATGCTTGAATATCTTGAATATCTTTCTACGATCGACGATTTATCTATCGTTTGTAGAATCCGACAGATCCAGTGCAGAAAACACGAGTTTGTAATATGGAAATCGGTGTCTCATATTCGATTGCTTTCCTGATGACGTTGGCTGACGCGAAACTTCTTTCTGCGATAGATTTGAAATTCATGACTACGCGAAGTAGAAGCGGCAACTCATGATCAGACGCGTCGATAGATCTACATTCGACGTCGGACGAGCCGAGGAAATTTACAGCTTTCCTCGGAGACAATCTACCCTGGGAAAATGAGGCGGCACGAAATTATAAAAGTGCCTACGACTTGGTAATGCACTTTAGAATTTTCCACTCAGTTAATACGATATTCGTCCTGTGTTATTGGACCGCGAAAATCTTTACGAGAAACAAAAATTTCCTATATCAATGAAAGTAAACCGGGTAGTTAATAGTTGAATAATCTCAACAATTTTACAATGACGCGACAGTACTCTTAAATTCTGATATTTTCACTGTTCTCTTTTTCGTCTACTCATTTTTGCCATAAACCCATAAGATCAGCAGTCGACTTGTTGCGATTAAGGTAAATCGGAATTATGTGATCAAAATCTGATAAAAAGCTACAATAATATTAGCATAATAAATTGTGATGTAAATGCTTATCAACATACAATATATCAAAGATTCGAGTTTTAAGTTTTCTGATCGACTATAGTCAGTACTGAGCATCCTATTTATTTTATTTACGGTATTTATCTTTTTATTTGTGCATTAATTTATTTTCTTTCAATTTATTCACTTATTATTTGCACGAGCTTCGCCGCGACAAAATCGCAAATTCGCCGCAGTCGCGTATCGGAGATTTCGAGCGAGGAGAGAGCGGCGAGGTGTCACATGGCGAGCGAAGGGGGGAAGGAGAGAGTGAGAGGCCAGGAGAGAGAACGCAGGAGAGACGGTGAAGGTATCGGTTGGTAACGAGGAAAACGGTCGGCCGGTGTCTACGCTCGCCTTCCGTCACCGTTGTCTTCATTGTCGTCGCGTTCCGCGGGCTTTCGTTGCGGCCGCGTAATACCAGGAAGTGGAAATGCAATCCGCCGCTGCAGGAGGGGGCAACGGGACTGCGCCGGGCCTGCACCGAGGGAGGAGAGAGGGCGGAGGCTTGTGCAACGTGCATCGGTGGCCGAAAACTTCCGTGCTGGCACGAGCCGTCGCTAAGTGAACGAAATTCGGACGAGTCCTTGTTTTATAGCCATCCGATAATCCAAACTATGTTGCAACGTCTACAGTCGGCGTAGAAAGTATTCGAACGCCTTTCAAAACGGAATAATAATTTTGTATAATAATTGGACCAGCCATCGAAATTCTTTCGAGACGTTGGGGGGATTATATTACTTGTTGTAGAATGAAAAGGATACTCAAATGCACTTTATTTAGAGTTACAAATTCTACTCCAGAACATTCGCGTATCCAGTAAAATAAGTGATGGTGATATATTGCAAAACTACAGAGATACAGAAATCTGGTGTTGGTGAAAATCCCGAGGTGGCAACCTCACGGTTCGGTGTCTACTTTTGAACTGTCGTCTGGGCCCACCTGGGCCTCTGTAGGCAACGGCTCACCCTCGCAAGGGGCCATAAAACTGTTAGGTGGGTCATCGTTGAAATTCCAACA